TATTACACGCCTCTCTTTCGCACGAGATATCCGCGTCTACTGCGCCGTTCGTGAGCGGCCGGCCCGGCGAGCGTATACTTATCGCGAGTCGCGCGGACTCACAGGTGTTAAGTGCATGCCTATCTACGCGGCTAAGTATACAGGCGGCACGCAAGCCCTGCCAAATTAACACGCGAAAGTCACGAATCGCGGCTAGCGCCTCGCCTTCGATCGCTCGGGCCGCTCTTTCGCACGATGTATAGGGAATAGATCCGTCGAAATTGTCGGCGGAGATACACCCGCGGGTTAAGTCGAAAGCCGTAACGCAACACTTTATCGCGTTTAAGTACATCTGGTGCGAGAACTGGAAGAGAGAACCTGCGCGCATACGTGTGCGTACGCTCAGGCTACCTTTCTTTCGCGCCGTAAGAATTACGTCTGTTTTCGTTGGAATAAAACGACGTGACGTTTTCGAAATACGACGTCCGTGTCGTTGCGCATTACGTCAGAATGGCTCCGAGGCCTCCGTTTGGGGCAAAAGCGCAGGAGTAAAATTGGCAGGACCCGTAAATTCCGGGCGGTGGACGTGCCCGTTCTCGGAACAAGAGCGTCGGTAATTGAAGCGGACGCAATCGGGAGAGCTGAAGGTGCCGAAACGGGTCTTAAACGAGTTCCTAAGATGAGATAAGGGCCCCCGTAATACCGGGCAAGATCGATCGCGCGGGCGCGTACGCACGTAGGAAGGAAGCGCTTCGGGCGGTGTCATATTTTACGACTCATTTCGTTATGTCCTCTCTCGCGCCGTCGCGGCCTTAAATTCGCACGGATACACGCAATTAACACCGACGACGCTCTCTCGGGGCCGCTTAACGTGCCGTCCGCGCGTAACTTTTTATCCGCGTTTATCCGCGCTAAGGACCGTCATAATTCCAGGGGTGGACGCGCGTAAATCAGTTCGTAGGACGCGAATGTACCTTGGCTTTCAACGAGGGCCTAACGCGCCGACGGTGATAATTTTATAGATGCGCCAACGGAGATTACGCCAATCTCTTACGGCAGTTCCAGAGAGGAGATAAGCGAGCGCGAGCAATAGCCAATCATGTTAATATCCCCGACCTTTGCGGGCTACGAGGCGCTGTTTGCAGATCCTGCCAATTTTAACATTTGCCTCGCCGGTGTACAGGGTGTTCCAGGAGGGAAGGTCAATATTCTGGGAGGTGATGGTATCGGTCATTTTAAAGCGAAAATGTTCATACGAATGTACGTCCCATTCCCCACGGTTTCCGAGATAGAGCACATTTTGTTGACGTCCTCGTTCAGGTGAAACACACTGAGAGACCCATTTAGTCGAATGAAACGAAACAATTTGATTGAATCATTTTGTCGACTGAAACGTTTAGTTGAATATTATAAAAGGATTCTACGCACACGCTTCTTTCGTAAAGACGAGCACGTGTACGACGGAGCACAATTGTTCGACGGTAACCCTGGACCAATCGTCAGCTAGCACGCGTCGGCGTTGCGCAAGTGAATAGACCTCTCAATAGCGAACGGCGAGTGTCAGCTCTCGAGGGACGTGGATTAAACCTGGGTTGAGTTTAACGAAAATTAAATCTCGCGTAATTTCGCCACAATTAAGCGCAGGCCGGTAATTTGCGTGCCTCTACGTGGCAATCTTTTCGCGGTATTTTTAGCGAGCGCGCGAGAGCGAGATCTCGGTTTCAGGATCGAGATAAGCGGATCTCGCGAAGAAATAAGTAGTTTAAGACGGTTCGCGTGGCCGGAGATTGGTCTGACGCTGACGTCGCTCGCCACCACGCCGAGAGTGGGGCGGCATTTTATGCGCGGGGCCCTGGGTGTTGTGCACCTCGTGTATCCACAGGTGCATCCACGGGCACGATCGGTCGGGACGCGTCGAAGCGGTTCTGCGGCCAGAAGAAACGCGAGATCGGAGCGTCGCGTTGGATTCATGGACTTCTATACACTACTAGACCGCTACCTTCGAGCTGAAAAGTGGGGCAACAGTTCCGCCATGTCTCGTTAGGTAAATAAAGGCTGTGTTCCAAAATTCACTGCCAGAAAATCTATAGTGCACGTGAAGCCCGTATCGGACTACGGATTGAAATTGGGATCAGATTGAAATTTGACCAACCGCGGTAAAGTTTACTAATCTCAGGTTTAGTAACTTTTACTCCAATTGGTCAAATTTCAATCTAATCGCAATCTCAATCCGTAATCTGACACGAGCTTAACGCATGCTACAGATTTTCAGCGCTGCCAGTGAATTTTGGAACACAACCAAAGTAGGACGTGTGCATCGGTCTGTCAGCGACACATACTACTTTATTTATCTAACGAGACATGGCGGAACTCTTGTCTCACTTCCCGGCTCGAAGGTAGCAGTCTAGTAGTACATAGAGGTCTGTGGTTGGGTTGCGCGTGTCGAAACGTTATCGACGCGATAAACGGATTCGATGGTGCGAGAGCGCGTCGATATCGCGAGTAATCGATGTGCGAGGTCAATTCGGTGGCGCGACACGTGGATCAGCCGGCGTTTGAGGGACGCACGTTGGTGCGAAAACGAATCTCCCCGCTTGGGAGGATCCCGCGGAGGAGTTTTCGATTCATTGTGTAGTTTCGGGGAGAAATTGCGCCGTGCTTTTCGTAACAAGCGCTTTCGATATATGTATATGCGTCGAGTGGTAACGGGAAGTAATGACGACACGATCGTCTCTCAGTGTAGATCCAGACGTCCCGGAAATTATCACCGAGAAACAGATGTATATGTGTGTGTGTACAGTTTTACATCTGGTATCTCAATTGTGTATTATTTGCATAAGTACCTGCCGCTTCGGACGAGATAGAGAGATAGAAGATCGTGACTTTGCGGAAACTTATCGGGCCAATTCTGTTCGTTAGTAAGAACTGACACTCCACGGACAATTAGATGTGCGAGCACGAAGCGATAAAATGCTCAGATTATCGCTGCTTGTTTGAAAATATTCGTATCGTGACGCAGATAAGGGTAAATCAATATTCAACGTTAAATATTCCGTAACAAAGCCAACTTGACCGGCAATTCGCCGAATCGCCATAATAATTGCATTACCTCCCGAATTTAATCAGAATTTCTTGCTATGCCCGTTTCTGCCAATAGATCAATTCGGCGCAACTTACTTTTTCAGGTTCAAACCCTGGTAATATTTTTCGCAATAAATTTTCTGTACTATTAAAAATGCCAGATATGGCCAAGAAAATGCTGAAGTTGTTAATTACTGCTGGCGACCTGAAGAATATTCTTATTAGTTGCTCTCTATCCTTTCCTAATTCTAAAAATAATCATTCTAACGTTCGCGTTGACAGAAGTGCACGCGAATCAGCGATAAACTGCGCCAAGCTCAGTTCTCACTGTTCGAACTTATTAGTAATTGTATAGACAACGTAAATCAGTGATAAAAATTGCCGTCCCCCGAACTGCGTACAGTGAAACGGCGCTATCGGGGGAACCTGCGGACCGTCGGCGTCGCACTTTCGCGCGAGAGGCTACCTCGGGATCGAGAGGGTAGACGCGGGTCGCAGGGACCAGCCGAAAAAACTCGCTTGTTATTCGCGTGCCGGTGAGATCCCGTCGTCGTCGGCACCGGGGATGCCGGCATCCCGACGCGATGGTGGGGCAAGACGGTGCCGGCCGCGGCGCGGGGCGAGCGGGAGAGTGCGACGTGCCGGGCTTTGGGGTTCCGTCGGGTGGTGGTGCCGGCGGTTTGTGAGAGGAGCCGACTGATGCCGATGCGCTCCGTGTCGCGCCGTGGCGAACCGGCGAGAAGGAGAGAGAAAGAGGGAGAGCGAGAGCGAGAGCGAGAGATCGAGCGCGAGAGCACGGGCGAGCAACGCGCGCGCGGCCAGCGCACATCGCACTCGCAAGGCGCGCAAGCCACAACGCACTCGCTCGACGCTCACGCTCGCGCCGCGCCGCCAGTCAGCGAGCGGTCGTCACCGGTGTTCTCACGGCGTGTCCCCGCCGTATGGCCATGCGTCGCCCCGTCGACCTGGTCACGATCGCAGGAGCACACATCGCCGATCGCGGAGTCGCCACCCCGGCGCGTGCGGGGACGTTGCGGCCAGCGCCGCGACTCACCCCAAGCGGAACAGCAGGCGAGACGCGCCGCCGAGCGCGTTGCTGCGGACGCAAGCGGTCGGCCTGGAGGATCGCCGCGTCGAGGTGCGATATCGTCGGAAGATTCTCGCCAAGTTGATCGCGAATCGTTACGCCGCTGGTTGCAGCTCCGCCGCCGTCGCCCGGTCGTCTCGGCTTGTACAAGGGGATCCGATCGCGCGCCTAGAGACGGTCAGCGAGAGGACCATCCGGCCGACGTGGCTTCCACCTGCTGACCACGCTCGCGACGCTCGCATCCCCCCGGGATAATTACCGCTGCGCGCGGCACGCAGCGGGAGGACCTTCCGCCTGTCGCTTCCCTCGGCCGAAGCGAGTACCAGTGTCATTCCCGATTTCCGCGCGAGTGCCGCCGTTCCCGTGTCTCGTCGTCGAGGACGGATTACGAGCGCGCGCGCATCGGTTCCGATTTCACGACGCGTCGAATTCCGAGTCGCTCGTACGCTTCGTGCGACTCGAGAGGCAGTGATCCCGAGCCGGAGTCGGAGTCAACGAGGAAGTTCGTGAAAGTGATCGCGCGATCTCGACTGGAGTGCGGCAGGGACAATCAAAGGGATAGTTCTCGGTTTTTTTTTCCAGAGAAAATCTCGTAGAATCCGACCGTTCGCGGTGCCAGTTCGACGCCTCGAACGCGAGGGAACTCTTGGTGCGACTCGAACAGTGGAGTCGGTCGTTTAACGCACCGGCGCTGTGCCGCGCGCCGAAACGCGACACCGCGAGGGAGACGCGGCGCGACCGCTCTTTGGCATCGTTACGTAAACGGCCAACCGGAGAGGTGGTTTTCTCGCGGGAGGACGTGAGCACGGAACGCCGAGCAGCGGCGCCAGGCGAGAGAGACCCCGCCGCTCGCCGTGCGCGACCGGGGAAAAAGGAGAAAAACGGAAGAGCGCCGCGAGACACGTGTCCATTATCGGCCGATCGCGCCGAGCCGATCGCGGGCGATCGAGAAAATCCTGTCCCGCCTCCGAAACGACGACGATTTCTCCGAGACGAGTTCGCGCGAGATCGACTGGTTTCGCGGCGGAAACGTTTCGCGGGAGATCAGGCTCGGTTACGCCGGGCCGAGACCTGACCGACGATGACGGAGGCGAGCGATCGGGCCCCGTCGATCGACTCTCGACGCGGTGTCGCGCCGACGACGCGCCGGGCGTCGACGTAGCGACCGGCGATCGCTCATTGTCCCGCCGGGAGCGTCGAGATAACGCGCGCGCGGAGCGCAGCGGCGACGGCGATCGCGACGATTCGTCATTTTCCCCCGGCGAGGAGGAGGATATAATTGCGGGAGGACAACGCTCGGGACTCGGGACCCCCGTTCGGCGTTGTTAGGGCAGTCGCCGGAGGGCGTCGGATCGGAAGGAAGTAACGTACGGTCCTCCGCCTCCTCCGCTCGATCGGCAACCATCGCGCGTCTCGGTGGTGTAATGCGCGCAGATTATGCGTCTCGCGGCCCTCCCGCCGGAGGAACGGAAACTAGAGGCGAGAACGAGCGAGAGATAATACGCTTGTTTGCGCGCTTCCTTCATCTACGATCTTCCTCTCGTTACCGCGGCGAGAAACCGCGTGCCCCGTGACTTCGGCACGGATCTTCGAGCCGCTCGGCGCCGCGGCTGGTGTCAACGGTGTCTATTCACGATCAAACGGTGCCCGCGTGCGTGTGTCGCCCGTATTTGCGTAACGTTACACGCGTTCTCGCGTGTGTGTAAGTGTGCCACGCGAGAGGAACCCGCGCCGCCGCCTCGCTTTTGAAATTCGTCCAAGGGGCTTTCGCAGAGATCTCGTGCGGCTCGAGGAGGTCCACGGACGTCCGCCGGCGATCTTTTCGGAGGCACGGGAGGACCATCATCGCCCGCCGATGCAACGCGAGAGGGCATCTTAGACCCGCGACTCGTGAGTGAATGGAGGTCGTCGCGCGAGATTTGAGAACGGCGAAAGTCATCGGGGGGTTCGAGGCGAGCGCACTTTTCCGCCGGCTTGTCTGAGGCGCGCGCGCGCGCGGCGACGTGGAAGAGGATCGAGTGACATTTCTCTCGGCGAACGAACGCGCGAAACGTCCGGTACCGTTATTCGAGCTTCATACGCAGAGCCGGGAATTCCATTTGCTTAGATCTCGAAGGCGAACCGTCGACAATAATATCTCGAGGAGCGTGCGCGTCGAGTAACTCGCGCGACGCCTCGCTCTTTCGTATTTCTTTTTCTCCTTTCTTCTCGCCTCGCACGAGCCACTCGCGGATACCCTCGATCGCCGGCACGTCCGATCTTCCGCTCAAGATCTTCGACCGGAGGACTCTGAAAAGTCGTGAGTCCCCCCGCGGGGAAGGTTGCAGGAGGGCTTTAACACGTCCGTGGTGCCGCCGCCGCCGCAGAAACTGAACGCTTTGATAGACTTTGAGTTGCAGCCACGCGGGGAACCCTACGTTGCTTCCTGGTGAGTGTTTACAAGAGATTACGCATGAGCGTTGAACGCGACGTGAAACATCGCGAATGCTTTTCGCGCGTTGAATCCGAGTCTTTCTCGAACATGACACGCATGAACCGTCGTGCGAACGAGCGAGTGTGCGTGTGTGATATTTCTCTTAATTATGGTACGAATTAAAAATGGAGTAGCGCTCGATCTGTTCTCACAGCTGAGCGCGAATATTTATTTCTCGCGGTAATTATTCACCCGCCGGGTTTGCAGAATCGTTGACAGGATAATTTATCGATTGACCGTAGCCGCGGCCGCCGCGAGTCGCGCCGTTGATTTTTTTATTTGTTTTGCGCCGCGTGTGTCGAAATTAACATAATCAAGTATACGAGCCTAGGAACGGGGCCCCGAGCGCTAACTAGTCTCGGGTAGATAAGGTAAAAAAAAAGGAGGCAAAAACGCGGGAAACGCGATATCCTTGCGGACGCGTGCGTACGTGCGTGAGAGCCTTTATCTCGACGTCATCGGCCGCGTGCAGCGCAAACAATTCGAGGGAGACGTTCAACCTTAACGCGCCGGATTTCGACGGCGATCGTGTATTATCGCGCGAAATAATCCGCGAGGCTGAAAGAAGCGAGGGAACTGAGAGGGAGAGTCGCCAAAGATACGAGGCAGAGAGAAAGATACACGTGGTGTATCCATAGAACCGCACATTTCTGCCCCGTAGATCATTGCGATAAACGTCTGACGGTACGCGGAGAGAATTTCTTCTTAAAATTCGCCTGAAGATCATGTAATCGTGGGACAACGTGGCATTCCGAAGAACCTCACGAGAGTTTCGTGAAATTTTACCATACAGTTACGTGATTTTCGGAGTAAGTTTCAAGAGAAAATTCTCTCGGTACACTGAGAAAAATGTCCGATTAAATATAACCGGATAATCCAATTACATAATAACAAACGGATACGAGCCGATGAAAAATGTGATCGGTTTGTCAATCAGGTTTCATCGGTAACTGCATTTCATCGGATAAATTCGTGATTTAATCGGAAAACGTAATCGGAAAAATTCACCATCGGAAACGCTATTTAATTGGTTTATCCGATGAAAAATTTTCTCAGTGTGGTTATTATTTATTCACGACGCGTGACGTCGAACTCTTACTCTGGGAAAAAGAAGACAATCGGCAACTGATTTTGGCGCCCACATTTAGTAATCGAATTATTTGTTCGTAACTCTATTCTTTTACAAATTTTACCCCGCGTAACTGTAAAAATCGCAATTAGCTATTCTATCCAAGATTTTTAAGTAACACTAATCAATTCTCTCAATTAGTTCTGTCGGTATTCAGTAACGCAAAGATAATTTTCACTCAAGAGGCACTAACCGAAACGTTAAGTTGCTTAACTACAAAACAAACCGGTCAAAAATTTTTCCAGAGTAGCGTGTTACGAACAATCCAAATAATTCGAGTACTAATTGTGGGCCCCGAAAATGGGTCGCCGTCTCTTTTTTCCCAGAGTACGGTTCCCCCTCAAAAACCCATCGCTTTTCAATCATTCGTAATCCCGAAGAGAACGCGATCGAGTGAAATCACCCCGTGCAGTCGATGCGAGCGCGAAACGTGAGATCGTAAATCCTGGTTGCACCGTTTCGCGGGATACGCCCCGTTAACTCGCGGGTTAAACGGCGCAGTCCGCCCATCTTTCGGGGTGAACGACGCTCTCCTCGTTCGCTCCTCACCCTCCCCTTTCTTCCCGTCCCGGAATCGGTGCGCGGAATCGGGGGAGGAGATCGTGTGCTCGACCTCTCGTCGATTTCCGATCGGGTTAAGCAAACACACGGTCGGTTCTCACCTCTATCGCGATAATGGCTGTAATTTCGGCAGCTTCCCGGTCCTTCGCCTTCGTAACCTCCACCCTCCTCCCCCCCTTCCTCTCTCGATTTCACGTACGCGTACGCGCAGATTGCAGAGGCCGATCGCGGCGGATTTGATTGCATGGCGCGCGACCACCGATTTATTAACGCTCTGAGCGCTCGGCGACTCCCCTCCTCCCGCCTGCACCCGCGTCGATCTCACCGAGTGAAAATCGCCTACCCCGAGGTAACGTTCCTACGTTCCTCTCCCGCGCAAGTACGTAGTCAAGCGAGCTTACCACGCGCGACGGCCTCGTGCTCGCGTTTCACATTTCCATCGAGGGCACGTCACGGCCCCTCGACACGGAGGCCGCGAGAGGGTACCGGCGTCGTGTCCTTTTATCCCTAATGAAGCAACGTATCAGCCGCTCGCCGCTTCCAGCGAGATCGCCTTATTAATCGCCGCTGTCCGCGACGCAAATGACGGCCATCTATCAGGCCCGCATTTTACTATTGGCCTCGCGCGACGCGGAGCGTGCGGCGCGGTCCGCCTTCTCTGTGCGCGTGCACGTGTTGCACGCGGCTCGATCGCGGTTCCCCTCTGTATGAGTGCGCGCACGTACGCACCCAGCATCCAGGCGCGATGCCCGCGAGAGCGAGACGGGCGAACGGCCGCGCGGAGCACGCAACGAGGTGCACATCCGACGTCTGGCCGTCGACTCCGGTGAGCATCATCCGACAAGAATCACGGATGAACGACGCATTTTCCGCCGCAACATGTTACCGCGTGTCAATAGCGGCTTTCAGACATTTTTTTATCTGCTCCGCGCGCGCGCGCGCGCTCGTCTCGCTCCTAAACCGGTATTACCCCCCGCCGTATAAAGTAGATACGCGTGTATATTCAGCGATACGCTGAAACAAGTCAAAGCGAGTAAGCCACTGGGCTCGTCCGCCTTACGAGCCGATTCACTTTCGAGTCCCGTTCGCGCCGAGTCGCGCTACGCGGTGGCTCGTTCGTCCGACGAGAGCTTGAGAAAAACGCGCGGAGTCGTATATCTCGGGCTCAGGCTTTATCTAATTACTCGGCACGCGTAAGCTGCGTTCACAGAAGTTCTCCAGGTATCTCGCCGGAGAATTGCGCGATATTGTGTGCGAGCTACTTTGTAGCGGAGAGATAGGTGAGAGAGAGAAATGTATATAAATATAATTACACGTGCGCGGAGATAACGAAGTCATCCGAGGCAATCAACGCGATTTGCGCTGCAATCTCCTCCCCCCCTCCCCTCCCCACTCGATCGCGTTATAATTGGTGACTCGAGTGCACGTCGCGTCTTTTTTCCTTTCTTTTCTCTCCGGGCGACAGGAATTTTATCGCCGCGCGAGTCAGAGCGCCGATCGGGGCGTTATCCTCGATCGCTGGCCTTCGCTTAAGCGACACAATGATAACGCGGATTCCGCGGCCTTTTTTACTCCGCTCCGGCGAGATTAATTGCGATCCTCCGTGTAATTTGCCGCCGCGGCCGATCGCGGACGTCCCCGCGGCGCGTCGGGGGACCCCGCGGTACAGTTTGTTTAGCCACGTCCGTCCGCACGCCCGAAAACATGCACGCGCGTATTAATGCGGGGGTGGGGATTAGCTGTGAATGAAACTAACCACTGCGCGGCTGCCCTGAATGGGCGACCGCTGCGGGGGAGAGTGGAGTGTATTTCCGTACGTGTTTATAGGCGTGGATGCGCGGCCGGAGGTACTGTCGGGACATTTGAAACGTAGCAGATCCGTCGTGGCGGATCTAAGGGTGGTCCAGGGCGGGTACGGTCGGCAGAGAGCGGTAAGGGGGGGGGGGAGGGGGAAAGGGATCCTGCCCACTGACTGTCGTCGAACAAATAACGACTATTTTCGGCCGCGCTGCTCGCGACTGCAGGCGTGCGAGGGTCTTCGCGAGGAGGGTACGAAATTTACGCGCGTCTACTCTGGGAAAAAGAAGACAGTCGACAACCCATTTCGGGGCCCACAATTAGCAATCGAATTATTTGAATTGCTCGTAACTCTACGCTGGGAAAGATTTTGACCGTTTCGTTTTGTAGTCAAGCGACTTAACGTCTCGGTTAGTGCCTCTTGAGTGAAAATTATCTTCGCGTTACTGAATATCGACGGAACTCATTGAGAGAATTGATTGGTATTACTCTAAAATCTTGGATATAGATAGAATAGTTAATTGCGACTTTTAGTTGCGCGATTAAAGTTACGAACAATCCAAATAATTCGATTACTAATTGTGGGCCTCAAAATGGGTCGCTAACTGCCTTTTTTTTCCCCAGAGTAGGCGACGCCAAGGAGTCACGGAGACTCTCGTTACCGTCGTCGCTCACGCGGCGCCATTATTCGCCGGCGCCGTTAATTCTTTCGAACGTCGCGGCCGCTCGCGGGGAACATCGATCTCGCGGACGCGATGACAAATGCCTCGATGGAGATATACGTCAAGCCCACGTCGCGCGCGCGCGCGCCTCCTCGTTGTTCCCATCGGAGGCGACGATCCTACGCGGAGTAACGAACGGTGCTTTCAATAGAGACATCCTATCGAGACAGACGCACCTGTATTCTTTCGCGACGCCCACGCGGGCGCCACGTCCTGCCAGGAGACGCAGAGGGAGAGGCGGAGAACGGTGGTCTTTTTATCTGGGGAATGCCTGCTCGATAACGGCCCGTGCGATAATACTCTTCAGAGTCTCGAGGTGACCGAGGGGTAAACCGCCGTGGGCATGGTGGTGTACAAATTTGCGGCGTCACTGGGCATTGCAGGGCATTTTTGGGCATTAGCGCGAATCAGACTAGCGATTGCCAACTCGGATGGGATTGGGATTGGCGATTGACGACTGTCCTCAAGCCAATGAGAGTCGATTGAATCGCTGGCTGCTGTGCTCTCATTGGCCAGAAGACAATCGCTAATGCCAATCTAATCCGCGTTGACAATGGCTAATCTGATTCGGCTTTTAGGCCTTGCTGAGGCATCATAAAGATAAAATAAGATAATAAGATAAAGTAATGCCCGTCGGGCGTAAAGCCCGTATCAGACTACGGATTGAGATTGGGATTAGATTGAAATTTGACCAATCAGAGTAAAAGTTACTGAACTTAAAATTAGTAAACTTTACTGTGATTGGT